AAAAAAGATAAACAAAAAAAAAAAAAAAGGAAGAAGCAAAATAAGCACATCGGATAAAAGGTCTCCTTTAGTAGAAAGTCGTAAAATAAGTGTGAGAATAAGCAACATTTATCACTTCATCATTACAAATATTAGAGAGTTAGAATTTTGAAATTGCATTTGAATATGTATTTTACTTGAAAAAATATTACAATTTGTAAGAAAATATATTATTTACCTGAAAAAGTAATAAAAATCACTTTTTCAAGCTTGAAATTCATCTTCAAAAATTTAGCCCAGTATGTAATCAAACAATGTTTTAAAGATGAGTTTCGAAAAAAAAAAGATAAATATATGGACAAACTGACTCCTTAGATACGAGGTTCTAATCTCACTAAAAGTTACTCTTTTGCCTTCGCTATTCACGATCAATGTCAGTCAAAAAGCTTTTCTTAAAAACAAAATCACTTTGTTCCTATATAAATTTATATCATATTAAAAGCGTGAACCCCTTAGTTAAAAGTTAAATTACTTAAATGCCTCTTTAAATTATATTAAAACCCTAATTTTAAAATAACATAAAAAAATTAATGCCTACAAGAGGGTCCGTTTCATGCTTTATTAAGAGACACAACTTACAACCATTCTGTCGGGAAAAAGACACATTGAATAGCTAACTCCAAAAGGTGCTATTGTTGATAAAATGATTGGTACCAATTATTGCCGAAATATGACAATATCCAAAGTGAATCAAATACGAGCATTACCTATTTAACCCAACGAGTTGTATTTGACTTTATCGAGATATCTTTACATGTGCAAAAACACTTTAATATATACATATATACCTTAAAATTGCACTCATTTACTATTGATCCTGAATTTCACCTTTGCGTTACCTCTCATCCGTTCGCAACATTGCATGCAAATCAATAGATAACCAAAACTTAATCCATTTGACACTTTTGGGTTTGCTTTTAGGAATTATAGTTGAAAGGTGGTGACTATTTTTCGGATTAGTTTCTTCATCTATCATGCTGCTATAAACTCATTTTTCTTCAAAGTCGGAAAATTTGATTGGCAATGGATACGGATTACACACGAATCTGCTATATCCATTCCTATAAACGACTAAAGGTAATTGATCTAACCTAATCAAAACTACCTTCAACTTTATATACTACTTAGTTATCCATTATATTTAATTTTCATTTTGAATTCAGCTACAGAATCGACGAACAGTGCCTTGCTTCTTCAATTAAAAATTTGGTGACAAGTGTCAGCTTCTAGAATTCCTAAAGGTACTTGCTAATATTCTTTTATTTCTTTCTAATTTAATGTATGTATTTTAGATTTAGCTTAGTAAGATGAATGAAGGAGAAGCACTGTTCAGATACTGTAATATTTTGGAATTCTAAGACATCAAATTGGAAGCTTAATGCTAATCAAGATGGTGTTGAGTAAACATAGAGAATTAATTTTCTTTTTATCAAAATTGGTAAGAAAGGTGCAATTCCGTCTTCAACTGAGTTTACTCGACTGATTCATCCACTTGAAATTTGTGTAAAAATTACTAAAACTTAAAATTTATAAGGGGAACTTTAATTGCTCCAAAAAATAATATATGAACTCGAAGATGTTGATGCTACCACAGTTGAGGAACAAGATGAACAAAGGAAGAGGATGGAAAGAATCAATGAAGATTAACGTTCGCTAAATAAAGATTAGCGGTCTTTCTTTATAATGGAAGAAATTATGAAATAATTTGATTTTTGAAGTTGTATTTAACGAAAAGTTATTATTGTTGGTGTATCAACCTATATATCAAATTTCGTGTTTTTCTTCACATGAAAAGCAACTTGTATTGGCATAATATTCATTTTGATCCATAATTATTCTATTACTTCTATTTTATTAATTTTCACATATTATCTATCTCCTTATATATGAAAACAATTATTCAATCAAAAAAAAAAAACATCGGTGAAATCTGTTCTATAGGTATAAGTCAAATCTATATTATTATATGTTAAGCTAAATGATTGAGGATGCGTTGTAAATAAACTTATTTTATTGGTCTGACGATGTTATCTTGTAATATTCTTTTAAGATTATCAAAAGTTGTATGTGATAGATCCACATTGATCATATATAAAATCTTATACTATATACTTTTACGTATAATTATTTCCTCAAACCTTTGTTTTTAATAATATTGATATTATTTTACAAAACTGCATATTACATAACTTGATATACACATGCAACGCACGTGACGAAAAACTAGTTACCAGAAAATAAGAGACCTAACTTGAATCGTCCAACATGATAATTAAATCTAGTGTTCCAAATTTTCTATTCTTCCCTCTTTAGACTTCTGGTTCTAGTTCTCATTTTTCTATTTAATATCTGCTGATGCCTCCTAATCTCTAGCTAATCACATAAATATATCCTTGTAGATTTGGAGACAATTGTTTTTTCAAATTTGGATTAAGATTTGACTAGATAGCGGCCCCACTTGTTGTATGTTGTATGATTACAAGGCACCAGATCAATTTCGGAGTTAAGTTAAGCTTAGGTATATATTCTTGTGGTTTGTAATTAAAGCAAGATAATCTTTGTGATTTAGCAGTACGTGATAAAATCTTTGTTAAGTATAGATTAGTATTATTATTTTTAAAGATAAAATGGTGGTAAACAGAAGGCTAGCTCGAGCTCGAAGGTGTAGAACTGACATGGTCCTTTCTGTTTTGCTCTTAGTTTTTACTAATATTTTTGCTAATTATGATATTATATTATGATTAGGACAAGCTTAAGATAAGGTGATGCTTAATGGTTTAGTTGCTCCACTTTCTCCTTGTTGCTCCTCTTTCTCCTTGTTGCTCTTAAAGTATTAACTATAATCACTTTGACCCACCACTGAAGAATGTGGTGGGATGGTTGAAATCCCTTTATCATTAACTAGAGGTTTTGCCGTCTCGAGTTCTAGTTGAAATCCTAGTAGGAAGGGCTTCCTTCTAAATGGCCATGTGCGATGCAATTTAATTAGTCGAGTGAGCAGTGAGTTTTAATACCCAAATGATTAAACAAAAAAATATATAACCAGACCCTATCCAGTTCTAGAATGCAATGCACTTGCAAAGTTTTTTGAAATTATTGTCCCACCATTTTAAAAGATAAATAAAAAAAATAAAGTTGATTTTATCTATTGGTGGGCATCAACTAATAATTAACAAAATTTATTCACGTGATTATCTGTTGTTAATGGAAGTAAAAGGATAATAGCTTGAAATTTTCAGAAAATGATAATAAAAAATATTGAAAATAAAAAAGGTTCTGCGGTTGGAGCTTAAAGAAATATACCATCTCTTGCTAGTGTAAAGAGGCAACTGGCATGGATAAGATTTCACTCTTTTTTTCTTCTCAAAATTATTTTACAAATTGAACTTCAAACAAATAGGAGTTCAAGCACTACAATATTTTTGGCCTATAGCCACACTAATTATAGACAACACTCGAAAAGTGTTGCCAAAATTAGCTATAGATGCGCTTATAAAGCATGGTCTTTGACTTGAGTCTTTGGCCACGATTGTTAAGGCCACACTTAAAAAGTGTGCTCTTATAATATAAAGATAACACTTCTTAAGTGTTGCCAATTTATAAATTATTTGACAATGCTTATTAATTATAATGCAACGTTTTTAAAGAGTTATTAAATTCTAATAAAAAATGTAACACTTTACGAGCGTAACCTAAAAATTTATTATAAAAATATTTCTCTCGATATGTCCCCCGAAATATACGGTTAATGAAAATATTTCCCTCCCAATACTCAAAAGGCAAAGCAATCACAATCTGCAAGAATACTACCGCATACCAAACCCTTTCCCAATTCTTTTCTATTACTTCCTTTCCGCCTAGTTTGCTGACTCCCAACAAATTGCATAGCCTAACTTTGTTGCTTCGTTTCCGCCTTGTTGCTTCTTCCAGACAGTACTCTAGCGAATCTCCATCTCCTCTCTATTGGTTAGTATTTCTTTTAACTCAAAGATTTCCCCTTTTTTTCGATTTCTGATGAAAAAATAATCTTCTATTATGTATATACCTGGGTATATTGGTATATTCTTCATATTATGCTCAATGTTTTTAACTTTTTTCTAATTTCAAATTCTTGGGCCGAAAAGAAGTAATTTTATTTTGTTTAATTTTTGGGTATCAAAGTTTTAGTTTTTTACTAATTTCAGATTCTTGGGTTGAAAAAGAGTAATCTTTTCTATTTGATTTTTGGTATCTTTGAATGATGTTCCTTCTTATATTTAATGTTTTAATTTGTCTAGCTTCTTTGAATGATGTTCCGTCAAGAATGATGTTCCTTCTTCTTATATTCAGATTCTTAGCTTCTTTGATTTTTTGGTATCTTTGAATGATGTTCCTTCTTATATTTTTGGTATCTTTGAATGATGTTCCGTCAAGTTCAATATTGAATATTTTCTTGCTGATCGATTTCTTTGATGTGCACATATATTTTTTACTCATGTATTTTCAATGTGTCCCTTTTGGTATCACTAAAAATTACTTGATTGGTTATTCAATATGTCCCTTCTGAGGAACCATATTGTTCATATGTCGATCGAGAATTCCTCTATTTTGAATAGCAGACACGTTATATGTAACCTTAGTCTGATCTCTGAATATTTTTTTGGCAATGACGACCGATAAACATTTATATCTGCAAAGGGAATTTCAAAATATCAACGAAGTGACATTTAATATATCACACTCCATCAGAAATTTTCGTTCTCTGCTCTTCTTAAAACAAATCTCTGGCTTGGTTTATTAGAATTTCTCTTGATCACTTACAAGATGTAGGGATAATATGATCTGAAATTTGATCAAAAGAGAAGCAGTGTTGTTTGTCTCTAAAAATAGATTTATTACATATACCTGAAAAGCAGTGAATTTGAATGGAGATGTATTTTGGAAAACTCCATCTTTGAGCCATCTCTCAGGATTGAATAAATTTGAACGGAGATGCATTGTTGCAGTTGTATATATTCTTAAATATGTCTAATTTCTTAAATATATACTTTCTCACATACTGTTAAATATTCTTACTAGTTGTTAGGCTAAAGTAATTTAATTTTTTTGTATGTAGGATGAATCAAGTGCACTGTTATACATGTGCATTTGCAATTTGTTCACAAGTTTTGGTCCTCTTCTGCTAATTTAAGTTGTAAAAGTAACTTCAGTCCTTAGAGTTCTTCTCCTGCTAAAGTCATGTGTGGCATTGACTAAAACTGAAAGAAACCAGATGTTCCAGCTATAGGACACATTCAACTTCAGTGGTGTACGTGCTATTGCAAAAGATAAGCATTATACAATTAGTCTACCCATGGTCAATAGTCACTCAATGTTCCAATATGTAAGAAAAAATTTCACAAGATAATACCAGAGAAGCAACAAGAATTATTATACTTAGTGTTTTATTTTGAAAGTGGGGAGTAGCCAGAAGATACAGAAATAACATCATTTGACCAGATAAAAGCCTATTGTTAATTTGTTATATTTTAATTTTTAAGTGATTCTTACAGGGGGCCTAAAGCCAAAATTAATATGAGGCCTAAATTTTTAAGTTATAAGATATATTTTTATTTGAAATCTACTTTTCTAGCTTTTTGAGATATAAAGTTGTTAATAATCTTTTTTATAATATTTTTTTTGACAGTCTTAACTTCAGAATCGTCAAAGTTTTGGAGAAACAACAGATGATGCATTTAGGGTTGTGTTTGGAAAGGAGCAGCCTGGTCGGGTTAGATGCTATGGTAGATCGGTGACGAGAAGCTCTCTGAAAAAAGATGAAGAAATCACCAAACTTAAACAACAACATGCCATCGAAATAACTTCTCTGAAGGAAGAAATGAAGGAAATGATGAGAGAAGAAATGCGATGTCTTTTTAGTTCCTTCACTCGGTTGATGCAAATAGTGCACAAGCTATGAGAGGCAATAATCTACCACATTCTTCTAGCTCAACTCATGCCCCGAGTCTTGAAAAGGTATTTATATTTCACCAAATAGTATAATGGTCGGGGTAAATTTGATCGGATAGTATAACGAAGATAAAATATAGACAATATTTGAAAGTAGAGGGGTATATTCGGTCCTTTTTCCTTGTTACTACTTGATCCAAATACTCGGTTATTGTGTAACACCTGTAATTCTATGTAACTTAATGCTGCTCGCAGTCTTACTTTTCTCTCTGTTTAGATACGTGTGATGAGATGTGTAAGCATACCTTAGGGAAGAGGGAAATGAATTACGGGAAAAGGAGAATGCTTTTGATCTCACTTGTTATTAATGTGCTGATTTGGAAATGATTTTGAAAAATTGAATAGATAGGGTGACACATTTATGGATTGTGCCTCTGGTTGTTTTGGCATTGGCTAAGAATCCAGTGGTAAAGAAGTACAATTTAATATCGTTGAAGCATATTGGGTTTGGTGCTACACTTTTGAGGAAGGAGTTAATTGAGGAATTCGCCGAGAGCTTTCCTCAGGTGTTGTTGCACAGAGATATTGTATGACAGAAACTTTTGACATTGTCTTATTGGAGAATCAATATGCAGGCCCCAAACACAGGATCGGCAGGGTTTGTAGTTCCGGAGTGGAAGCTCTAATAGTTAATGTTGATAAACTGAAGCCTCTTCCCCCTGGACAATTAGGGGAAATATGGGCCTGTTGTCCTAACATGACGCAAGGCTATTCAACAATCCACGGTCCACTAGGCAGATTACGGATGAGACTAAGGCCTTTGATCTCACTTGTTATTTGCTGATTTATTTTCTTGTACACTATAAGTTTCCCTCGTGGCTTCCTTCACCTTCTTTAGCCGAAGGTCTATCGGAAACAGTCCCCTTTCCCCTCCAGGGTAAGGGTAGGCTGCATACATTCTATCCTCCCCAGACCCCACTTGTATGATTATACTGGGTAGTTGTTGTTGATTGTTGCGATTATAGAAGAAGATAGGTAAAATGTATGTTAATTCACATTTTTGCTTCTCTTTCACTTGTATATCTTTTTTGTGTTTGACATTGTTATGCTATAGTAGTGAAATAAAATCTCATTAGTTCTTAGTAAGATATAACCAGCGCATACTATATATTTGTTTCTTTCTAATTTTTAATTTTATTTTTAATGTGTAGGAAAATACCGGTGATGCAATTGGAAATGGTGACCACAAATAAATTTGATTCATCAAAGTGAATGGTGAAAACCTTTTGAACAATTGTAATGTTTATTTTTTTTATATTTATATTATAATTAAATATGAATACATTTGGTTTTGTCGAGGTCTTTGCTAGTGATCTTCTTGAACCAACAATGCTTTATTACTATATAGATAGTACGCAAAGTATGTTTCATTGTTGAAGTTTATTTCGAGTATATGCATTTGAATTATTTTTATTCTGTTACTTATTATCTAATTTAATGCTTGAGATCATAATACATGCTTATATATATATATAAAATAAATTTGAACAGAATTTGATGTAAACAAATATAATTTTTAACCACAAAATTGTGGCTAACATAAATATTTAAAAAATTTCTTCGTGGTGTCGACAAAATTGCCACGCTTAGAAAGTGTGGCCATAGGGATTGTCAATCTGGTGTTGTTAATGATAAATGTTGCTCTAGAAGCCACGCTTAAAAAGCGTAGTCTATAACGTGACAAAGATCATGCTTAGAAAGTGTAGCCTTATGTCATAAAAGCGTGGCTATATGAGAAAATTTAAGTATGGCCTTTGTATCTTATCGGCCACACTTTTAAAGTGTGGCTGCTAAGACAACACCTACAAAGTGTGGTCAATAGTCAAAGGTTACGGTACTTTAGGCTACCCCCAAGCGTTGCCAAAAGCTATAAAGTGTTGCCTTTGACCAAATGCTACACTTCTTAGCATCTTAGGCCACACTTCTCAGGGGAGGTTGTAGGCCTAAAATGTTGTAGCGAAGATCTTTTGCTATGTGGATAAGAATTACTATATATTGTCAACAACAACGATTCTAGTAGAGGTTTTTTAGTAGTATTAGATTTTCTTTCTAGCATGTCATAACAACGATTAGGAAGTTGTGACCGTCGTTAATGTGGATCACCCTAACTGAACTTATTCAATATGCTCAAATTCATAATTCATTGACATTTCATTTTGACATCAACAGAAAATAGTTTAACATGATCCTTTATGGCTTGAATAGGAGAAAACGATCTTATAAAGATATTTTTGTTGTTTTATTTTTGGATTTCTTATGTGTAAAAGTAAGGAACTCTTAAGTTATTTGACTGTATGGGGTAAAATTTGTTAGCAATAGTTGGACGAATAACGAAGTGACACGTGGAACTAAAGATGTGATGACCCAAAAGGTCATCACTTGTTTTAGAAATAAATTCTGCGTTCCGAGACCTTAAAAACCTTTTTCAGCACCACCTCGATTTGAGTGCACAGTCCGGGCGCGTAGCCGGAAAGCCATTATGTGAAAATCTATGAAAAATGATGAATTTTGACTTTAAAATGAATTTAAGTTACTTCGGTCAACATTTTGGGTAAACTGACCCGGACCCGTGATTTGACGGTCCCAGAAGGTCCGTAGGAAAATATGGGACTTGGGCGTATGCCCGGAATCGAATCCCGAGGTCCCAAGCCCGAGAAATAAATTTTGAAAGAAAATTATTTTCTGGAATTATTTATGAGTTTTGGAAATGAAATGTGTTTAAAATTTGATGGTATCGGGCCCGTATTATAGTTTCGGAGTCCGATACAGGTCTTATATGTAGTTTAAGTCGAGTCTGTGAAATTTGGTAAGAAACTGACTTAAAATGACGTGAATTGGACCGTATTTGAGAAAATCGAAAAATTTGAAGTTCTTAAGTGATTTCATGATTTTGATGTTAAATTCATAGTTGTTGATGTTATTTTGGTGATTTGAATGCACGAGTAAGTCTCTAGAGTGTTTTTGAGGTAGTGTACATGTTTGGTTTGGAGCCCCGAGGGTTCGGGTGAATTTCGGATAGGCGTCGAAGAGTTTTTGGATTTAGAAATCTGGTATTTCTGCTGTCTTCTGGTGTCCAGGATTTTACTCTATGCAAACGCATGGTCATCCATGCGAACGCAATGAACAACGGGGAAGGGGGCAGGTTTGCACTATGCGAACGCATAGACCTAGGTGCGAACGCGGAGCTTTGGGAAGTTTCTCTACGCGAATGCAATGGGTCAGTCGCGAACGCATAAAGTAGGAATGGGTCCGGGGGCTGGGTAGTTTTAACCCTATGCGAACGCGGCCCTTAGTTTGCGAACGCATAGATCAGGAGAGTCAAACCTATGCAATCGCATAGGCTTGTTCGCGATCGCATAGCTTATTTTTGCCCAGTCATTTAAACAGAACAGAACACATACGGGATAAAACCAAAATTTCATAACTTCTTCTTCCAAACTCCAAATTGGGCGAAGTTTGAAAGAGAAATTCACCACAAATTCATAGGTATGTAATCTTAGACTCATTTTCTTCAATTTTCATTAACACCCATTAGATTTCTAGGCTTAAATCATGTTCTTGGGGTAAAAAATTAAGGATTTGGGTAGAGTTAAAGATTTTTGTATAAATGGAATTTAGACCTTGTTTTGGGGTTGGATTTCGAAACTAATTACATATTCGGGCTCTTGGGTGAATGGGTGATCGGGTTTTGGTCCGAACCTCGTGTTTTGACCAAGCGGGCCCGGGTCAATTTTTGACTTTTTGGGAAGAATGATAGGAAATCTATAATTAAGCATTGGAATTGAATTGCTTAGCGTTTATTTATGTTATTAAGTCGATTATGTCTAGATACAATTGATTTGGAGCCAAATTCAAAAGGAAAAGAGGTGTTTGAGGCTTGAGTTGGCCGTGGAAGTTCGAGGTAAGTGTTTAGTCTAACCTTAGCTTGAGGGATTAGGAGTCGAGTCTTATTTGCTATGTGGTAATTGTTGAGTACGACGTATAGGCATGGTGACGAGTATACGTTGGTGTCAAGCATGCCCGTGAGTCTTATATTATGATTATTATGACTTCGTGGAATTATTCATGCCTTGGTGATGATTTCTTTTGTTGTGCAAAGTTTGCGGAAGTAATAGCGATATTTGAACATTGAGTAGCGTTGGCTCAAGTTGTATAATGAAATGTGGAAGTATAAATGGCAATGGAACCTTTTAGAACATTGGCTCAAGTTGTGAAGTGAGTTGTGAATTAGAAGTGAAAAAGGAAAGCGAATTATTATGTTGTTTCCCTTGCCGGGATATTGTTGCTCTTAATGTTATCTCCCTTGCCGGGATGTTGAAAATTTTGAGATTGTTCCCTTGCCGGGATTTGATTGTTGAACTATTATTTTCCCTTGCCGGGATTTTATTCCAACCTTACTTATTTCCTTGCCTTATTGTTTGTGATTATTGTTTGGGTGAGGAAGAGTGTTAAAGCACGAAGGGTGATGCCGTGTATTATTTTGGTGAGAAAGTGTTAAAGCACGAAGAGTGATGCCGTGTATGATTTTGTATGGAAGAGTGTAAAGCACGAAGGGTGATGTCGTGCCGCACGATGTACAATTCTGTGCCGGTTATATTGATTATATGGTGAGGACGAGTGTAAAAGCACGAAAGGTGATGCCGTACAATTTATACTGATTCTTTGGTGAGGACGATAGTAAAAACACGAAGGGTGATACCGTGCACTTATTGATTCTTGATTCTTGTTAATAACTGAGATATGGTGTTCCTCTTATTTGCCGTTTGTCTTTCTATTCTTAATTGATGTTCCCCGCAACATGTTTTCCTACCCATACTTGATTGTACCTTTCTGTTCTTCTTTTTCGTTGTATATGGTTAAACTGCACAGGTTTATCTGGTAGTCTTGTCCTAGCCTCGTCACTACTTCGCCGAGGTTAGGCTAGGCACTTACCAGCACATGGGGTCGGTTGTGCTGATACTACACTCTGCACTGTGTGCAGATCCCGGAGCAGCAGCTTTTGGACCTTAGCTTGGGTGGCTGCCTTCAGTCCATACGGAGATCCAAGGTAGTTCTGCAGGCATCCGCAGGCCCTAGCGTCTCCCTCTATCCCTTTATCCTGTTTCATTTGCGTATTTTTCGGGACAATGTATTATTTATCTTTCAGACTTTGTTTGTAGTGCTCTTAGACCGTCTGTGAAGCTATGACTCCAGTTCTAGGTAGTCTTGTTCAAATAGTTGTATTGGATACATATTCAAATAGTTTATTGTTTTTCTTCTGCTTATTATAAATTTCGTTGTCTACACGTTATTGCTTCATAACTGTTAAAGGATATAAAATGGGTAAAAAGGTAATTTGTTCAAACAGTCATCTTGCCTAGCTTACATTAGTAGGCGTCATCACGACTTCCGAGGGCGGAAAACCCGGGTCGTGACAAGTTGGTATCAGAGCTCTAGGTTACATGGGTCTCACAATTCACATACAAGCTTAGTAGAGTCTGAGGGATCGGTACAGATACGTCTGTATTTATCCCCTAGAGGCTACAGAGTTAGGAAAAACTTCACATTTATTCTTTCCTGTCGTGCGGTTTGGTTTCTCAATGCTAATTGAATTTCTACTTTATTCTTTCGCAGATGGCGAGAACACGCACTTCCTCATCCACTGACCTGCAGCCCGAGCCCCCAGCAGCAGCTCCCCACGAGGGGCATAGGGCGAGGCCGAGGCCATGCTAGAGGCCGAGGTAGGGGCATAGCTCAGCCTNGCCCGAGCCTAGAGCAGCAGCACCAGCGGCGGAGCCTCAGGTTGACTTTGATGATGAGGTTCCGGCCTAGATAGTTCTGGTAGGCCCAGCTTAGGTCCCAGAGGGGTTTATTGCTACCCCAGTACTCAAGGATACTTAGGTCCGTCTAGTGGGCCTTATGGAGAGTGTCACCCGGGCAGACTTACTTCCTGTAGCACCAGCCGTCTCTCAGGCTGGATGAGGAGCCCAGACTCCTGCTACCCGCACTCCGGAGCAGATGACTCCCTAGTTTCAGACTCCAGTAATTCAGCTAGTTGGAGCAGTTCAGCCGGGTGTGGTAGCTCAGACCGGTGATGGAGCAGCTATGTCTGCCGATACTTTGTGGAGGTTGGACAGTTCACCAAGCTCTTCACTACTACTTTCAGCGGTGCATCTTTTGAGGATCCCCAGAATTATCTAGACCGTTGTCATGAGGTTCTCAGAAACATGGGGATAGTGGAGACCAATGGGGTCGATTTTGCTACTTTTTGCTTATCTGGGTCCGCCAAGACTTGGTGGAGAGACTATTGTTTGGCTAGACCAGCTGGATCACCATCTTTGACTTGGAAGCAGTTTAATCAGCTATTTCTGGAGAAGTTTCTCCCTATCACTCAGAGAG